AACGATTTGGTGAATGTTGTGTATTTCGTGTCACAAGTACCATGGAAATAGCCTGAGCATGTGTTGAGCGAAATTTTTCTCATAAAAAGCGTAGATCGACATTAAAATCATCAGAAGTTTATTTAAACAACCTTTATTGAACATCAAGAGACGGGTTAAGAGGAAACACTTTCACACGCAACATAATTTTATTAAAAACAAGTGTTTATATACTAAGTTTATTGGAAAAATGTATGCTGTATATAGAAATTGGCTGTAATATTGTGAATCTCCATCAAAGTACAGGGAGATATTTGGAAAATATTATTTTTACATATATTCGACATAGCTCTATGCTCCTCACTCATGCATGCGCTTGATATTGAAAAAAATAGAAGTTTAATGAAGTTCTTTCTGAAGATGATCTCATCGAAATATTCGAGAAAAAAAGAGGTGTACGAAAATATGAAGTCTATTAATAATACGTACTATCAGTGGTTGATGATGAATTATTTTGTTCATCCTTAATTGAATGATGATCATCATTATCAAATATAAAAAGAACATCTAACCAATGTCCATGTGAACGTGTCATTCTTGTTGCATAACTAATTGTCATTTTTCTTTTTTTATCATACATAATATGAGCTGTTGATAGTGTTAAAACTTCTGTATTCAATGGTTCAGTATACGGTAATGTTGTTAATGGTGCTACGGTTTCTAATGTATTTTCATCAATAATATAACCAATAACTGTTTCTGTTAATGCTATTAATTCATTATTGATTCTTTGTATAGTTACATTTGTATTATCGGTCACTAATCTTGGATCAACTGGTGAAAATAACAATTGAAATCGACCAAATATTGTTTTACATGGATCAGTACCAAAATGTCGAGTTGTAAGATAGCCAGATTCTAATGATTCTTTGTAAGTACGAGATTTAATAAATGAACTTTGAAAATAAATTTTATTTGATTCCCCATCAATATTATATTTTTGTATATATGCAAAACCATCAAATGAATGATTGAAATTTGTTCTTGGATCATTATTTATTTCAAATTGTCCAGGACCATTTCGATATAAACAACCTTTGAACCATGATGGTAATTGTTTGTCAACTGTTAATGTTATTTCTTTATTACATTCTGTTGTACTAGTAAATAAACCAAAATTATCCCATTTTTCTTCATTCGAACTCGTAAATGTTGTCGCCATATTATTTTTGAGTGAATTTATAATACAATATCGAACTCGTAGTATTATAGAAATCTTCGTCAGTTGTAATATTGTCGTAATAATAAACAGATAAATAAAGTTAAAAATCTATAAAAAATAAATAATAAATCTTCTTCTTATTAGTGACGATTATATATAAATACAATGATTGTAATGAATTTTTTTTCAATCATTCAAAAAATCAAAGATTGATTTCATATGAATAGAATTAGATTTATATTTTATTCAAAGTCGAACAATTTAATTTCTATTACTATTTTTTTCTCTTTGAGGGTTACGAAATGAAAATAGAAATTTATATATTTCATTTATGATTTATGTTACATGATCTAATTGATTTGCTGTTTTTAATAAATAATCCTCGAAATAGAATATAACTATTCTATTCCAAGAGAATTATTTTTACAGAAAAAAACAAAGATAAAATTTGGTACTAATCCAGTTTAGGCACAGTATATATATAAACAGAACAGGAAAAAAAATTGATTGGCGAAAGATTGACCATCATAAATTAAAAAATATATACAGCGACTAAATTTTATAACACTTCTTAAAGATGACAGCAGTATATGAGAAAAAACAGAGATAATTAATAGCTTATATCTGAAGAGTTTTTTTAAAGGCTGCCGGTGTTTTATCTGGTGTAAAAGGGGAATTAATTAAAGGATATTAAAACACTAAATGATCAAAAAAATATAAAAAATCTATCAATTTGCCTCAGAATAATGTACTTGAGTATAAAAAGGGATTGTTTCGATTTAATTTTTATTTTTCCAAAACGACTAACATGGATCTTAATATTGAAACTGACGATATTGATAAACTAACCTTACGAAAAATTCATGAACTGACTAAAATAAATATGGACACGATTCTGCTTCTACAAAAACTAAAACTATTACCAAAGCTTCCAACAAATATTGAAAAATGTGGCGAAAATAATAATCATTCTTGGTATCTCGCTGAATATAATAAATCGATCGATGGTAAATAAATAAGTTTCACTACTGTCATCTTTAAATGATATAAAATTTAGTCGCTGTATATATTTTTTAATTTATGACGGTCAATCTTTCGCCAATCAATTTTTTTTCTGTTCTGTTTATATATACACTGTGCCTAAACTGGAGTAGTACCTAAAATTTTCCTTATGATAAGAAATGAGATGGATTACATTCTTCTACTACGAATAAAAAAAATGTAAGATTCTGGTTCCACGGTATATATAAATCTATATCATCACAAAAAGATTGAGAAAAAAAAGGTAGAACAAATTTTATCTCATTCAATGTAATAGAATAAAGTTCTTATCTAAAAAAGATTACAGGATTTAGTGCCGTATGCTTTACTGCCGTAATAAACATTTATTTACAAATTCAATTTTTTTTACAAGTTAATGCACATCCTTTTTCCATAGTAACTTATATGATTATGTTAGATAATTCTAATGATCACAATTAAAACTTTTGATTTAGATCTATGTCAAAGATTTGCTTTTCATATCAAAAGTTCGTAAAATTAGATTGAAATCTGCCTATAGTTTGTAATTGTTTCAATATATAGAGAAGAAAATTATTCTGGTTTTCAGCTCAAAGGTTTATTTTTAAGCTCAAATATTCGTAGAAATATGTTCCAGTTTATCAATAGTTCGTAATTGTAGAGATAAATCGAAAAAAAAGTTTTATTTTCTAGCTCAAAGATTTGTTTTTCGTATCAAAAGTTCGTAAAATTACATTGAATCTGCCTATAGTTTGTAATTGATTGAATATGTTGAGAAGAAAATTATTTTGGTTTTCAGCTCAAAGGTTTATTTTTAAGCTCAAATATTCGTAGGAATATGATTCAGTTTATCAATGGTTCGTAATTGTAGAGATACATCGAACAAAAAGTTTTATTTTCTAGCTCAAAGGTTTGTTTTTCATATCAAAAGTTTGTAAAATTACATTGAAATCTAACTATAATTCGTAATTAATTTTGTCAATTGATGAAGAAAAATTCTATCTTTCAGCTCATAGGTTTTGTTAGATGTCAAACATTCGTCTGAATGCATTGAAATCTAACTATAGTTTGTAGCTAATTATAGATATAAAAAAAGATTTTTTATTCTTCAACTCAAAGGTTTACTTTCAATCTCAAAAGTTCGTAAAATTATATTGAAATATAACTGTAGTTCGTAATTAATTTTGTCAATTGATGAAGAAAAATTCTATCTTCCAGCTCATAGGTTTTGTTTAGATGTCAAACATTCGTGTGAATGTACTGAAATCTAACTATAGTTTGTAGCTAATTATAGATACAAAAAAAAAGATATTTTCAATTCTTCAACTCAAAGGTTTGTTTTTCATGTCAAAAGTTCGTGAAAATAGATTTAAGTTTATCAAAAGTTCGTGAAAATAGATTTAAGTTTATCAAAAGTTCGTAATTAAATACATAAACTCAGAATTTTTTTCTAGCTCAAAGGTTTGCTTCCTATCTCAAATGATCGTAAACGTATATGAGCGGAATTTTATAGCTAATATATTTCTTTTACACTCATATATATTAGTCTCATTAATTTCTAATATTTGTAGAAGGATTTCATAACAGGTATATCAAATCAAAAGGCTTATCAAATCCTTAATCTCACTAAATGGAATATTGATGTTGCATTATATGAGTCTTTATTTCAATCCTACATTGTGATCATTAGTTTATCTGAACAATAATTCATATAACTTACGAATTTTATTAAATCAATTGTTGGTTGAACATGTTACAAGTTCATTTAAAATTATCAATAAGATTGTTCAAGTTAGATATACGTTAAGGGTGTGGGTGTGGGTGTTGGTCGTATATTCACCCACACCCACACCCACACCCACACCCACACCCACACCCACCCACACCCACCCACACCCACCCACACCCACCCACACCCACAC